ACAGGTATATGAAAAATACTTGACATCTCTAATCATCAGAGAGATGCAAATTAAAACTGCAATGAGATATCACCTCATAGCAGGCAAGTGTGTGCACAGGGATGTTAGGGTGACTATTTTCAAAAAAAAAGAGAAAAAAATGTTGAGAAAGAATGGTAAGAATGTTGAGAAAAAGGCACACTGTTGGTGGGAATGTAAATTAGTACAGCCTTTATGGAAAACAGGGAGCTTCCTCAAAAAATTAAAAATAGAACTACCATATGATCCACTATATTATTATATCACTAGGTATATATCCAAAGGAAATGAAATCAATATGTCAAAGAGATATCTGTACTCTCACGTTCATTGCAGCATCCCTTACAACAGCTAATATATGGAATCAACCTAAGTGTCCATTAATGGATAAGTAGATAAAGAAAATGAGGTGTATATATATATTTCCACAAGGGAATGCCATAACCCTTAAAGAAGGAAGTCCTGTAATTTGCGACAACATGGATGAACGTGGAGGACATTATATTAAGTGGAATAAACCAAGCACAGAAAGACAAATACCACATGATCTCATTTATATGTGGAATCTAAAAACGTTGAATTCATAGAAGTAGAGAGCAAAATGGTGGTTACTAGGGGCTGGAGCTGGGGTAGAGAGCTGGGGAGATCTTGGTGAAAAAATAAAAAATTTCAGTTAGATAGGAGGAATATATTTAGGAAATCTATTGTACAACATGGTAACCAAAGTTAATAACTATGTATTTTATTCTCAACATCTCTAAAAGAGTAGATTTTAATGTTCTCGACACAAAAAACGATAAGTATGTGAGGTAATGTATATATTAATTAGCTCAACTGACACATTCAACAATGAATCCATATTTCAAAAATCGTGTTGTACACACTATATAAAATTTTTATTGATCATATTCCATCTACTACTTTGAATGGATCATTTTCCCCATGCATGATTTTGTTTACATCATGTATTGGTCATTTGGAAAATACTGGTTCACGGAGCTGCGCAGATTTTCTAAGTGTTCACACATTTTAGTATATAATACAGTAAAAAGTCACTTTCACTAATATAATCATCAATCTCTTCGAGAAAAGCCTTCAAACAGTGTAAAACTACCAAGCTCTCAGTTGCAGATATAAGCTTTCCAACATTCTAATTTTCCCTTGAAAGGTCAAAGTTTTTCATTGGCAACAAATACTGTCAGTTGTTTTTCTTGAAGTGACAAGATCACTGCATTCTTTTTTGAGAAACGTTTGCCATCTCAAACATGAGTAACCATCTACCAGTTTATCAGTTGTTCTTTAACTTAAAATGGTGTTCCATGCAAAAAAAAGCAGCTAGTGCAGCTGGCAACTCAGTCTTTTGAGTGCTTTTCTTCGAGACAAACATGAATACCCCAGTATGCAGAAGTGCTTTATGTGTACTTCTCATGCGTCACACAGACAATATTAATAAGCTATGTACTCAAAGGTCAAGATTTAATAAAATTAATAATTTTTACAGCTTCATCAAGCACATTCATATATGAAACTGGCTTTTTCCCCCTTCTTTGCTGTGAATGCATGGTGGTAAAGAATACAATGACTATCAGTAAAGTGTGGTACTACTGCTTTGATTCATGCTAAGGTGCCAGCAATTTTCCCATCATTGCTTTTGTATTGTCAGTGTAAATGTCTACACAGTGAAAAATGGAAATAACATTTTAGTATATTGTGAAAATAGTATTGACTTTGTGGATTCCTTGGGTGTTAGGGAGCCACAGGGGTCCATGGTTCATACTTTGAGAACTGTTGCTCCAGGTACCAAGCACTGTGCCTTGTGCACAGTAGGTACTTATTTCAGTACCTGGTTGCTGAATAAATGTTTGATTGTAGCTTGGATTTAGAAAGTCTTGTTTGACTTAGCAATGAACCAGGCTTTTTTTTGCACCAAGTTGCAGAACAGATTTAGATATTATATTTAGATATCTAAATTAAAATGATTCAGAAAACAGAACCTCAAAGCCCAGCATTGTAACTGTTCAAAGCTGCTCCAAACTTAACTTTCCTCTAATGACAAAATTGGCTTCTTTTTCAGTGGTTCACTGAATGGACAGGGCCTGGTGTCTTAAAATTCTGGGAGTAAGCAGTGCCAGGCTGCTGGGCACCACCTGTCAACTGGCCAGAAACCACTAGGCTTGGCCAGGGCTGTGGCTGTGGTTAGTCAGATTTAGAATTAGTTATATTGGGAGCAGCATGATAATCCTGTTTTTCTTCTTGTTATGTGCCAAGTGGAATTTATCTAAGTGCTGAGTTCCCATACACTTTGTAAGAAGTAAGGGGTTCAGAGGTCAACCAGTACCATGCTCTCTACTTGCCTCCATAAGAATCCCTTAGCTTGATTCTTCTCTGAGGTATGTAACAAAATATCTTTCTGAAACCTCTAATGGATAAGTTCCCTCCCTCTGTCTCCCATCTGTAGACACTTATGAACTTATTTTAATGGGGAAGTCTTGTGAGTAGCAGCAATTAAAATCATGGGAAAATATTTGGCCATGGTCCACTGCTGACCTTGATCATAACCCTTCCCATGTTTAGCCACATCCCCAAAGAAAGCTAAGTGGCTAGTCTACAATTTGGCTGTAAAGTTAAACTGGACACTAAGAATGACTGGGGAAATAGTTTTCCTTTCCTTCCACAGGCTTCTATAAGCATCTTCTGTCTTACAGAATTTCAAGATGATATTTTAATGATTAGATCAGTTTTCCCTCAAATAAAAAATTAGGGAGCATGGGCATGTGGTATTAGGTCAAAAGGAAGTCTAATTATAAATGAGAGATGGGTTGTTGAAACTGAAAGAAAAATCAAAGTGTAAGATGTAGTGGCATCTTACCATTTTCCATTGAGTTTCATTTATTTCTTTGTATTGAAGTTCATACTCCAGAACTATCCATCCTTTTTGAACATCTGCATTGGGTGGTGGTGCCCATTTCACTTGGATATCTGCATGAATTCCGGTTAAACTGATGTTCAGTAAAGTCCAGTTGAGGCCAATGGGTGGATCTGGTTGCACTGTGCAATTCAACAGAGAATTAGTACACAGAGAGACACAACTTAATATTAATGGAGTGCTTTTTTCTGAAAAGATCAAATTACTTTATACATTTTGATTGTTCACACTCTTAATTCTTCCAATATTCCCTTTGGTATAACTCTTACTTTCTAAGAGAGTACCCTTTTTTACTTAAGAATGATCTGTCTTTAATTTTAAAAAGTCCCTACAAAAATTCTTATAAAAAAATCTAATCACTAGCTTTTTTTGAAGATCTGACATATTTTGCATTTCTCCCATCCAAGTATAATTAGGCCCAACCCTGATTCACCAGGTCTGACTCTGCTTAGCTTCTGAGATTAGACGAGATCATGCACATTCAGGGTGGTATGGCCATAGACCATCTTTTATTTCTTTCAGCTCTGATAGCATTTATTTTAGCTCTTACAGCATTAATGCTTTAGGATTTAGGCAAAGGAATTCATTTTCACTAAAAACTGAAAGAGCAGAGAGTCAAAATGACCCATAGTACTTAGACATGGGGCTGCTTTGAACTAGGGATAGAGAAATATTTTTTCTTTCAAACTGTGTGTGGCCTGGGACAGGGACATTGTCTTACTCATTTCTGTGTTGCTACTAGTACAATCTTTCTGCACACTCTGCTAATGCTCTTTAGCACCATGGTCTTCCTAGCTACATGTGATCATTTCTTCAGACTTAAGAAGGAAGACATTACAGTACTCTCTTAAATGGTAAGGATTCAGTGTTTTCTGTCTTTTACTTAACTGCCACATGAACAATTTGAAATAGGCTCAGTTTTCATTGATATCCTCTACATGCTAAGGTAGATCTCTTGCATTCTGCTTATTAAGATCTCAAAGACCAGGCTGATGAAGAAAGATGTAGATTCCAAAGAGTCCAAATTTGACTAATCATGACTACATTTTGAAAACTGAATTGGAAGGGTATGCAAAATGGCCAGACTACACATGCCCGCGTAACAGCAGTAATAACTAACCCTTCTGGATTTGTTGGGGATTGAGGAACGCTCTAAGTGACCAAACTATAAAAATGTTTTTGATGGAAGATTTTCTAAAACTTATTACTCGTCTTGCATCTTAAAAATTTCCTTTTCCACTTTAAATAGAGGATTTTGGAGAAGACTTGGTACCACCGTATACATAATACATGGCACAATAATAATCTCTCCTTGACCTCCATACATACACATGCCATACTTGAATATTCCTTTGAGATATTTAAAAAGTGTCTGAAAGTTAATATAGTCCCAAACAAGCTCCTGGTCTTCCTTTTCCAAAACTGCTCTTCTTCCCTCTTCTTCATCTCTGTTAATGGAGACTCTATCCCTCCAGTTGCTCAGGATAAAAACCATGAAACTCTTCCTTGACTCATCTTTCCCCCTTCACCTCACATTCCATCAGCTGTGCCTTCAAGATGTATCCAGAACAACCCCTTCTCACCACCTGCATCTCTATAACCCGGTCCTGGCCATTATTGCTTTCACCGCTCTTGCTGCATTCTCCTCCTCATTGTTCTCCCTCCAGTCTGCTCTCCACACAGTCCTCAATAAAGTTGACACAGTGATGATCTTAACACGTAAGTTAGATCATATCACTCGTCATCCAAAATCCTCCACAGGCTTCCTACCTCATGCCAAGTGAAAGCCAGTCATTACCATGGCATACAAGGTTCTATAGATCGACCCTCTATCTGTCAGATCTGGCCTTTCTCCAGTCTCCTAGCTCACTCTGTGCTGTTCCTTGAGTGAGGAGAGGCACGCTCCCACTTCAGCGTCTTTACTGTTGCTATGCGCTTTGCTAAGATGCCCTTGCCTCGGATACACACATGATATCCTCTTATTTCCTTCTTTACTCCAGTATCACTGACTCAGGAAAGCCAATCCTGATAACCCCACTTAACATTGCAATCTCTGCAACACTCTGACTCTCCTTCCCCATATTTCTCCACAGCATTGTTGCTTTCCACCCTCACTGGGATTGAATCCCACCAGGGCAGATATTTTCTATCTCCAGCACATACAACGCTGTCTGGCCCATGGAAAGGACACAATAAATATTTGCCAAATGAATGACAAAATGTCTAACTCATATATTACTTTAAATCCAAAGAATAGCCCCGCGAGGCTGTAGAATCCATACATAATACACGAGAAAACTGAGGCTTGTAGTGATTGACATCTTTCTCAAGATCTACTAGGGTTATCTCAGTTTTTCCTTCTCTTACTCTCAGGACCCTCGCCCCATGCTATTGTTGTAATCCTGCCTGTCATCATTTTTTGCCTCGATCATCTCAGTCTTCTAATCTCTCTACCTCTGGACTGTCCCACTCCAATCCAGCCTTCAAATTGCAGCAAGATTAATTTCTTTTAAACTGGAACATAAATATTTTTTGAGGCGATATTTTGGCAACACTATTTCCACATCTGTTAGGCCATTTGGTACTTCTGCCCATAATAAAAGCATCATTTATTGAATGTATATGCTATGCCAGCTCCTAAATTAAGTGATTCCTATGGTAGGTAATTTATTATTCCCATTCTACAGATGATGGTTCTGGAGCTTAGGGAAGTCTTAAAAACATTCCTTTATTAAAACAGTGCAGAGAGCCAATCCCTAAACTACAGAGATTCCCAGAAAATCCAAGAGAATAGTGAAGTTTTGGACCTGGGTTTCTCCAACTCATGGTAAGAGAAAGTGAAGAAGCAGCTGATCTGTGCTCAAGGCTGAATGAGGCATTATGTTTCGCGGCAGCAGCACTGTGCAGATATAATGATAAATAAGATTAAGTCCCTAACTTCAGGCTAGAAGAGGTCTCAGAAATTGAGGCATAAATAACATGACAGGTGGTATTCTGTGGCCTCAAGAGAGAGCGCATGGGTTCTGGAGCTACACTGCCTAGCTCCAAATCCCAGCGCTACCTACTTACCAGCTGTTTGACTTAACTAGTCATTTAACTGCTCTGAGCCCTAGTTTCATCATCTATAAAATAAGAATTATAATAGAACCTATCTCACATGATTATTATACCTGACACACAGTAAATCCTTTGTAAGTGTTAGCTATTATTATCTTCAGGTCGTTTCCCTATTTAAACATCTACAAAATTAACCTTGTGGCAATAAGATAAAGTCCACATTCCTTTGTGGAGCTCACAAGACCACTGATGATTTCTCCAGCTGGCCAGTAGGCCTGCCTAACTGCTCCTGAGTCCTTGAACACTCTGTGCTGTTTATCACTTTTGGAACTTAGTAGCTGCTGGCAGGCACAGCCCAATGTGATACCTGGCAACTCTCACTCGTGCTTTAAGAGTTAACTGAACTGCCACCCTCTCTCTATGCAGCCCTTTCTCATCCTTCAGGCCCAGTTAATAATTCATGCCTTTGGCCACCACTTTCTGCATTCCACACACCTCGAGTCCAGCACCTACTACACTGTACTAAAATTATTTGTGTACATGCCTGATTCCCCTCTTGGACTGTATCTTACTCATTCTATAGCCATCACCCCCAGCACAGTGCCTGACACAGAGCAAGTCAGCCAGGTAAATTAGGAGGGCTGGTTATTGGCAAGGATGGGGTTAGAACACAGGTCTTAACCCAGTATTCTTTATACTACTCCCTTCTACTATCCCATTAGCTACAGCTCAATAGCTACACCCACAGATGTTAGGACATATATGAAATTGTCTCTCCAAACTATGCAATTGGGTTATCTTTTTTGGTTGTTATAGTTTTCTCAATATTTTCCATCAAACCGAAGCTACAGGATTTTATTTGTTTCCTTCTGCAGCTTCAAGCCACATTCTCCTGTCTCTTGCAGTGTGCTGATGCCCAGGGAACCACATATGGGAGCAGCACATCTGAGAGAAGTGACAAGGAATTCCTATAAGCAACAAATGAGCTTATGTGGATAGATTTTGAGGCACCAAGATCAGCTACTCAAAGTCCTTCTTTGATTCTATTTTGCTGTTTATACTAGTGTAGTATAAACACGAATATACTAAGTATGTATAGCTGTTTGTTTTGCCTTGTTTTGTTTCCCCCTTGTGTCCACATCATGGGCAAAGGATCCTCTGTTTGAATCTTTCACTTAATCCATTGAGCTGATGATCTCCAATTCTTGTTTTGAGATCTTATAAACATGTCTTTAAATGGTTCATGGCTGTTTTGTAAATGTAAAATTCCAGAATTATTATACTTTGTGATAAAGAAAATACAGGCTTTGATTATAGCAATGATAGAGGTCAAAACTCAGTATATTTCAGTAGATCTGAATATAATCATCATATTAGACAATTAGGAGAGAAGAAATCTTAAGAGTCTGTTAAGTTCATCCCTTGCAGTGGCACACAAGAATGCAATCCAGCTTTAAAGGAAAAGACTCCACAGGCTCCCATTCTTTTCTTCACAACATTTACTGCCAGGCTGCTTTACGTTAGAGTGGACTTAAATTACTCCTGCCCTTTTCCTCTTGTTCACCAGCTAATCCCATCTCCAGCAAAATATATCTCCATGTACCAATACAGCACTATTAGTCTTCCTACTTGGTTACATTTGGACACTGAAGGCTTTCCCACTTATTAGTCTGAACCTATGTCAAACGAAACACAAACCTGTGATTTACCTATTTCCTCAACAGAGAAACACTTTTGATCCACTGTACCACCATTGCTAGTTAGCTTGATACAGTAAGGTATCCAAATGGAGGTATACGACGAATTAAAGTAACAGCTGTTTTCTCCAGCAGAGACATAATCTGGGCATTCTTTCCATTCTTGGGTCCATTCTTGAGTGCTCCTGAAATGGAGAATAAAAAAGGATAATCGTTCCAAAAATCATGCCACAGCTTAAGTCAAAATGAGGTACTTGACAGTAGATTCAATAAACCGGAACACAAATACTTTGTGAAGAAATATTTTAGCAACACCATTTCCACATTTGTGGACAATATCATCAGTGTTTTAAGGGCTATTAGGAGGCCATTTGGTACTTCTGCCTATAAGAAAAGCATCGTTTATTGAATGCATATTCTATGCCAGCTCTTAAATTAAGTGATTCCTATGGTAGGTGCTATATTATCCCCATTCTATGTGATGGTTCTAGAGGTTCTGGGGCTTAGGGAGGTTTTAAAAATGTTCCTTTATTAAAATAGCACAGACAGTCAATCTCCAAATTATACAGATTCCCACAGGATCCCAGAGAACAGTGAAGCTTTGGACCTGGATGTTTCTCCAACTCATGGTGGGAGAAAGTGAAGAGGCAGCTGACGTGTGCTCCAGCTGAGGGATACATTATGTTTGGCACTAGCACTGCGCAGATATAATGATAAATAAGATTAAGTCCCTAACTCCAGGATGCAAAAAGACTCAGAAATTCCCATCTGAGTACTCTTTGGTCTCTTTCACTCATTCCATTGATATTCAATGAGAATTGATTATGTGCAAAACACTGTGCTATACACTCTGGGGGATTGAGAGATATCTAAAGAATTACTCCTGCCTCAGGGGGGAAAAACTAAAAAACCATATTACAAAGCAGTGTGGGTGAATGCTCATTAGTAGTGTCCATTAGGGTCCCTAAGAGTTCAGAAGAGGGAATGATTTTTCTGGCTCATCATGGAAGGTTTCAAGGTAGAGGTGGGGTTTTTAGCAACCTTAAAGGATGGGTAGAAGTTTAATAGATGGCAACAGGGAAAGGAAGGGAGGGAACAAAGTGGTTAAAGACAGTGAAGTAAGGAAGTATGGGCATGAGTGTGGTGAAGGGAGCAAGAGGCGATGGAATGACAGGAAAGAATTTTCTTAAATTAGAATTGCTACTTGGGTGGGTGGGGTCATTCCTTCTCCCCTTATTATTCACTAGTTTATCAGTCGAGGAGAGGATTTATAAGTCAAGGGGACATAAAGCCACGTAATCTTCCATGGAGGAAGAGGGAGGTAGGAATGACCCTGTGCAGGCAGAGGTGGATGTGGCTGGCAGGCCAGACTGTGCAGGTTTGGAACCATCCCTCTGTGGGACAGGTGCCGGGTGGCAATGGGCAAGGAAGACACTGTAGGCCTGGAAGGGAGGGAGGAGAAGACACATGTTGTCTTCTTTACAGCTGTTTCTCAGGCTGGTCTGTTTGGCACTAGGAGGAAGTTGTGCAGTATCAGGGGGTCCTTGAGACAGCTGCTCATCAGCTGTTGGAAAGAACTTGGGATTAAAATGGCAGAGACTCCCGGGTCTAAGACAGTGAATTGTTACTTAAATTCCGGTTGAGATTCTTAGAAATTGCATACCCTTGGATGAGAGAGATATTCATCCCTGATGGGAAAAGTAAGTGGGTAAATGATAGAAGAAAGGATCCAGTGTGTTTGTGTGTATGTGTGTGAATGCATGTACATGTGTGTAGAGTAGCAGGAAAAAGATTTAAAAAATTAGGGATAAGTGGGTCATTGAACTATACTATGGTTAATTTGATACTGACATTCAAACTAAATAAAAGTGCATTGAAGAGATTGGCTTAACAAGATTGCCCAGGGAATGAGGCTTTCATATTCTAGTAGAGGAGATATCAGATTCATTTGGCATAATCAATGATGTAAAAGCTAGAAAACTCAAAAGTATTAAGATGTTCTAAAGATGCAAAATCATGCTTAGCAGGTCTGGATTTGTAACAGGGAGATTATCTCTGTTGTGTTTCACATAGTTTCTCAACTTTGGCATGTCAGTACCCTGGTCCCCATGAGGACTGTGCGAAAAACCCTTGTTTAGATTATCCCAAATCCATTAACTGCACAGGACAAACAACTTAAAGCACTTATCTTAAGCATGATGGATCAGGAACAGCTAGTTCAAAACACAACTTTCAGTTTCATTCTTCCGTAACCAAAGTTGAATTTTACTTTAAATAAATATTCAAAACTTATTTTTTTAAACTATTAAATCTAGACAAATGGACTTATAAGACAGATATTCTGTCACCTCTCTTCACCGGGTTGAATTTCTATACAGATGACCAAAGCCAATTTATGGCGGCTACTCTCTCCTGCTCTTACTCTCCCAAATTAATTGTTTTAGGTTTGCTCCCAGACTATCCTGTGAAACAGAAGGAGTGAGAACTGTAGAAAGAGACTATCATTAAAAATCAGAATAAAAAGCAAAAGAAATATTTTCCATCTAAAGGTAACCAATTGGAAAAGAAATCACAAAAATAAAACATTTATGTTTTAAGGGCAACTGTTTTCACGTCATTTTGGCTTAAGATTTAACACTTTCCTTAGGGGAAAGAAGTATAATAACAATGCCCTTTCTCCCTTCTAATTTCCCCCACAACCTTGCATGAAAAATGAAATTTCTTTCATAAGGCCAGGGTAATTTTGGGAGGGGGCTTGGGTGGGGATGGCAGAAGTGCGGGATACGTCCTTAAGGACTAAGTGTACACGCGTCCATTTCCTCTGAAAACAAGGCATTTACATGCAAGGAGCTGAGAGCAGAGCAGGTCAGACATGCTTCCCAGGACCTCCTCTTGCCATGCTTGTGATTTGCATTCATGCCGTGTCCCCTCCAAGCTCCAAGGCTGAATTTGGCACCATCTGCATCACAGGGAGGCTGAGACTGTTTTGACTCAGCTGCCCTGACACGTCGAGGCTGCTTCTTCTGCCAGCTCACCTGGCAAGGAGCAGAGCTAAGCAAAACATGTGACTGCCCGTGGGGCTGTGTCTGCACTGTCCTGTTGATAGCCCGATGTGTTTAGCTTCCATCATGCTTTAGATACCGAGGCCAGGCCAGTGAACTGTGTGCCCACTGTACCACCCCTTCTCTGCTCCTTTCTGCCTTCACTGATTCCGGTTTTGGATAAAATCATGTTACAGTTTTATTTTTGCATCACGGATGGGAAACATGATTCTATAGTTTCAGGAGTTGTAACTGAATTCTCAGAAACCATGACAAGAGTCAGAAAATGCATTTAATTGTCCTCTTTGTGTAAGGGGGCAATGAGAAGTCTAATACATATGTGCACTGATCAGAGCAGCCCAATCCTGATATTCTTAAAGCCTCAATTCAACCCTTCTCAGATAAATTGGACTGTGGGCTTCTGCTGTAATAGTTTGGCTAAAATATTCAAAATGGCTATGTTTTTATAGAAAACACAAAATATTGATTTTGCAAGTTTGGGCTGGCACTTAATTGTGAGGTTGCACTTGGGGTGTTTAAAGATGTGACAATTTTTACCCCTGGGATTCCAAACTCCACTAGGAGCAAAACCTAAGACATCCTTCTGAATATGTTTGAAATTTTCCCACCATCTGGTCACATTTTCAGCAACATCCTTGTTAGCACAGAGCCGGGGTTTGGACCAGGGATGCTGAAAGGACGGGGGACTGCAAAAGAGTCTTGCAGACAGAGTCATGTGGCTGTGACAGGTGATGGTAAGAGACAAAAATATATTTGTGACGCCTTAATACCTTTGGATTTCTCTTTTTGCTCACATTCAGATTTGGTGACTATTAATGTGATTAAAAATGATTTTCGTAAAGTGGGTCCAGCTCAAGATGTTATTCTGCTATTTCTCTATTCAATTTGGTTCATTGTGCCTGTACACATAGCTTATTTTATTTGTTTTGATTGAGCTGGCT